ACTCATGCAGCAACCCACACAGCCCAGCAGCAGCCGGGAGGCGGACTCTCCGACGTGCCTCTGACAGGGCAGCTGCCTGGAGATCTCGCCCCCAGACACACTCACTCTCACAACATGCAATAGACACCTCCACGTGGCTGCAGGGACCGACCCGGGCCTGCAGGTGGCTGCATCTGGAAGTGGGTCCTGGGGGAGAGGCTGCCCTGGGTAGAGTGTCCAGTGTGCAGACAGTGGCCACAGCATCATCTCTTAGGACAGGGGCAGGGAGGAATTGCATCAGGACAAGGCCTGGCACTTGCTCGGCCCTGGTAGTTTGCAGGGGGATGGGCCTTGGGCTCAGGAGGCAGGAAGTTAATCTCAGAGGCGGGTGTAGAAGGAGGTGCTTCCCAGAATCATTGCTAATGTAACAGTTAGTTCATTCTGGAAAACTGTTCAAAGTCACAGTTTTCATGGAACTTAGAGAAAACACTACACTGGCCTCAGGGGCCTCAGGCAGACACGTTCTGACAAAATGCAGGGACCCCCATTCTCAGATCTCCCACTGCACCCCTTGGTTTTCTGCCCGATCAGTGAGAGTTCATCTTTAATGGCTCTATGCATTTGCCTTTCCCTGGTCCTGGCTGGTCCTGGCCAATCCCGGCTCCTGGAACACTCCCCCTCTGCCAGCAGAGGCATGGGGCACTGCAATAGGAGGGGCTTCTCCTGGGGCCAACGTCCTGCTCCTGCAGGACTCAGCTGGCCTGAGGCACCCCCCAGTGTCAGCCACATGCCAAGGCAGCTGCCGGCCCTACCCAAGGTGGGCATCCCCCAAGGGCAGCTCCCTTGTGCGTCTCACCAGCATCCAGGTGACAGTTCCTGCTGACTGGCCCTGGCCGGGGAATCTCAGTGAACTTTTCCACCACCCAGGGGCCACAGACACCCTCCCAGTGAGATTCTGGCTCTCAGCCTTGGTGGGGGTAGGGGGTGGTCCCTGAGACAGGCTCCTTCCTCGGGCGCCCAGCTTCAGCCCTGCAGCAGATCTACCCCATCTGCTGCTATGCCTGTGTCTGCAGCTCTCAGTACCCATTCATTGCTAATTCCATGTCACTAGCTAATACATCTTTATACTAAACCTGTGTTAATTCCTATATTAAACTCTTCCAGTCACTGCACAGTTTCTGCCTCCAGACCAAACCCTAAGATACAGTATTCTTCATTCTCCAAATTTCTACTTTGTTCTTTATCAAATCTACCTGTTCCTATGGCTTCTTTAGTTTTTTT